GAAGTTGAATGAATTCTGTCAGAATGACAATCAATGATACAGCGTTGCGCAATGAAACGTTATCTCTTAAGTGAAAAAAAAAAAAAAGGATGCAATGGCATTTTTCAAACGACTTGGAGAATTCACAAGTTTCGTAAAGAAGAGGGAAGGAAGATTGATTTGAAATTAAAATAAGTTGAAATGTATTTTCTTGGATAATTATAATTCTTGGACAATTAATTCTTCGTTTGAAGATTGTACATCACGACCTCCACATTCTCGTATACAGAGTTAAACGTACATCATTCGCGACGCGGGAGAGATTTCACATATCTCGTATTTGCGATCATGAATCTGAGTCATGAATGTGAGTCATGAATTTGCGGATTAGATAAGGGAATGATACATATGTCTTGTTCCTCATAGATTTTATGATGGAAAGAACGTGTTAGAATTGACAATAAGATATTTATAAAGCATTTTTTTTAGCAAGAACGCAACAATATATAAAAATACACGCAAAGGATGTGACATAACGCAAAATCTAAAAGAGAATGTAATATCAATTAACTTTGTTAAATCAAACAAATCATATTGTTCTTCTTAAGTATTTCAGAACACCTATTAATAATAAGGCCATAATGATAAAACAATAATAATTATAAAAATAATACGAAACATTTAAAATGCCTATAAAAATAATAATAATTATAATTTGTAGTGACTCCGTGATTAATGGGAATACAGTGATCAAATAATCATTGATCTTTTACTACTTTTAGAAAGATTATTGATTTTATCAGAGTTAGAACATATTATACTGTCACTCACTCTAACATTTACTAGTACAATTATCACGATTTATTTTGCAAATATTTAAAAATCCACAATATACCGTTTCTTTGATTAAAACAACGTGTGAACGATAAAAGATCCTCGATATAATCGCATTAATTAAACGGAGCTTGCTTGGTTTTATCCAGCTACGTCAGATTTTGATGTATAGAGTGACTTCAGCAATTATTAAGTCTGCCGCTACCTCTTTCATTTTCCTCTTTTCTTAAGTATACCCTGCGATAAATGCAATTGATCACTCAGATGGTATTTATCCACGCCTTGCAATATCTCCTTATAATGTAAGTGAAACTTGAAAAAATTATGACAATCCGTTATCTTCATAACTGGAATATTATTTGAAAAGTTTACACTCGGTTTTTATCATACATAATTATCAAAGGTATTTTCTATTATTATAAAACAAATCACTTATTAGATTAAATCTCTCTCTCTCTCTCTCTCTTTTGATTTAAATTTTCGCCGGTAGTTTTGTTGTTGCCAAGAAGGCGAACAATTTTTTATAAAAATAAAGATTTCTTCGCCGTTTTCGTTTCTACACGGCGCTCGTAACGGACGACCATTTTGCAGATATCATCTTCGATATCATCACGCAAGACATTATGAAGATTTACAGTTATTCGAGTAAGCGAAGCGACGCAGCTTTGTATTATACCCAAGATTCTTGACTACGGAACCCCCGCGGTGTCATACGCTATCAAGATATCATCGAAGCAGAGCGCCAAGGCGTGCACTACTGATATTCTCGTATCTATGCATCTTTCTGTGTCAATTTCTATAATCTAGCGTGTAAGACAGCATTAACAGATGCCTATAACCACTACAGATTATTCGAGCGATTTATGTCAAGTCAATCCATTCCTCTATGTGGGAGTAAAAGTAAATAATAAAATAAAAATTTGCATTATAATTACGGGTATACTTTACTTTTTTTATCATTTTGAATTCTTCAAGTTTTTAATTATAGTCCATTTTTTTTAAAATAATTTAAAACTACACGGTACACCCTCCCCTTGTACGCTGATATTATCTAGAAAGGCCCTCATTCTGACTTCTGCGGCTAACCACACAGAAGTTGCTTCTAAAAAATGCAACCGCGACTAGATGAATCAGTGGATCGTGACTCATACTATCAAAAAATGTCGGCGACGCGAAATTGAGACGTGCAAAGTAAAATCGACCATGGAATAAAACCAGATTGGAGTATTAGTATGCTTGCAAATATTGCGCTACATTTTAGATTATATATCATTTGCGAGCGTAAACGCGAAGGAGTTCAATATTTCTTACTCGAAAATTAGTCTTGAGGGAGTGCCTTAACTGAAACTAATAATGCTTAATAGGCTCTTTGCTACTATAAATTGATACACAATTTTCCACGGGAAAAGGGATAGAATATACGAGCTCTATGCACATGTATCGACGAAGGTATTTTAACGACGGCTTATTGATACCTTATTACACAAAATATTACACACGTCAGCCTGATCATTTTCCCTCAGTTTTCCTCTATTTTCAAGGAATTCACATTCACATTTTTCTACGTTCTTTAAAACGCCTGAACTGTTTGGAATAAATTGAGCAATATCAAATAATCCAGAAAACGTTTCGCTAGTTGATCGTATAAAAGCAACACGTTAATCATCTTTCGATACGGTGAAGACAATCTGCTTTGGAATATTAAATGTCCAATGTTGTAACGATGTTTTAAAGTATATAAACTTTTCTTAATTAAAAAGTGTATCCGTTATAAATACACATCGTTTTAGAAACAATTTAATTTCATTGGATTATAAAAACAATGTATGAAAATTTGTAAAAATTGAGATAAACGGTACATAATTGGAACTGCCCTGACAGCGACTTTAACGGTCGATGGCGAACGGTGCTGCGGAACCCTGTTGCAAATAGCACACCATTAGCCTCCGTATGAGACGGGCGTAATGTTATACATTACGCTCTAATGACTACGTGTGGATTGCTGCTGCGCATAAGTACGCGAGTCCGTTGTTCTCTTTTATCCGATCATCATACTAAAGACACAGGTGCACTCTTCAATAATAGTTTTCAACGTTCAACATAATCTAATTAATATAATAATGCAGAGGACAATTTTTTTTGTGAAAGCTCATCAAAATATTTTCGAGCAGATACTTGGAAAGATTTTTTAGCGTAAATATAAAATTCAGTAAAAAATAATATATATATATAAAATATTAT